GGGCTTGTACGTGGCCATAAGAAGACACGCAGTGTATGCTGATAGGTGCTGCAACGAAAACGTGCTTTGGAACTACTAAGCTGAGTGAAAGAAGGCACTTACAAAGAACCACACACTGTGTTATTCAATGTACGCAGAATAAACACATCTGCAACAGTAGAAAACAGCAGATCCCCTTCTAGGTATCTTCCTGGGAGTTAGAAGACCTCCCATGCCAGCAGTGCACGCATACCTATGCCTGTATCAATTACAATGGTACATGTGTAACCACATTTACAGCGGCACAACTTCCCAGCTCGGTCTGGGAAGCAGCCTATGCACCCATCAGCAGACGACTGGGTAAAGAAAACGTGGTATTTGTACACAAGGCAGCTCTACTCCGCCATGAAGAAGGGTGAGCTGGAGTCACTTGTTGGGCAATGGACGTACATCAAGACCCTAATATTAGGCGAACTAAATCAGACAAAGCTTAAGTGTCACTTGCTTTCTCTTACATGAGAACACCAAACTATAAAGAAAATAGGAGCGAGAGATGGAGATCTTTTGCAAAAGGCAGGTGGGGGCCCATACACCAACCCCACAATGAATGTAATTGTGATGCACTGCAAACACGCACTAATAAAAATTAAAATTTAATAAAAGAAAAGGAAATGGGGACTTGGAAGGAAGAGGGCGGGGCCGGTGCACAGAGCACAGGCTTTCTTTCGGAGTTCATTAAGTCGTTCTAGATAGCTGCACACCTCTGCAAATATACATTAAAAAGCAATAAATTGTACTTTTCTCCTGGGTGCATTTTACAGCATGTGAAGTATATCTCAGTAAAACAATTACAGTAGTCCCTTGCTATTTTGTAGTTCAACTTTCACGGACTCCCTGTTTCGCCAGTTTCCAAAAATATTACTCCAAATTATTTATTGTGAATTTTCTCCTTTATTGCGGGGTTTTGCAGTGCCATACAGTATCCACATGTTGTTAAAATTATGTGGGTTTACGAGTTTAGAAAATAAGAGCATTAGAGGTGTTTTTAAGAGTGTGTGAAAAACTAGTAATAAAAATAAACATGATAAAAAAAAAAGAGAGTGTGAAAGGTTTATAACGGTGCGAGAAGGGTGTATAAAGCTTTAAAATATATATATAAACACTAAAATAAATATAACACCGCTACTTCGCTGAGCTTCACTTATCGCGGGATGTCCGAATTGTAACCTCTGCGACAAGAGTGGGACCGCTGCACTCAGAAGTAAAACTCTGCAAGCGGCATGCGACCTGTGGCAGACCCTGCCCAGGCAGTCCCCACAAATGGATAGACAATGAATCCATGGGCAAGGCTCAGGGCTTGGTATGGTGTCTGGAACCTGCTTGGCGCCCAGACATGGGGTCCCGGGGTCCCTGGCCTCTCAAGCACACACCGCTGTGCTGCCCAGCGGTGCCGAGGTGCCTCAGTCTCAGTGCCCGTGCCCGCGCTGGGGCAGGGAGGTGTTTCTTCATCACCTTTATGCCCAGCTTCTCTTCCAGTGCAATAAATGATTTATCTGAATGAATTTGCTGAGAATGACGTCCAGGAAGTCTCAGAATAGCCTGTGTCTTAAGTGGGCCATTGTCACGTGTTCCTTCTTAAAGGACTCCGTCACCTGGGTCAAGGGTCCTGAGCCACACTGGCCAAAGTCCTCCTCATGCCAGCTTAAAGGAGGAATATGGCTCTCAGGAGAAGGGGAAAGACATGAAAAGCCAGGCAGACATGGGACCCATTCCCTGGGCTGCAGAGCAAGTATAGAGGGAGCTCAGAGGCAGGGGACGGCCACTCAGAGCCTCCAGGCAAGAGGCACTGGGGCCTTCCTTCCTCAGCCAGGCTCTGCCCTCTTTTCCTTTCCTTTCCTGTTGCATGCCTGCTGTCCCCTCTGCCAGCAGGTTAGTAGCAGACAGCAGATCTGCTCTGTCCCCAACACCTAGAACACTGCCTGGCCCACAGTAGCCTCTCAAACTACATTTTAGTAGACACTGAGGTAGTCACAACAGCACAGCTAGAGACAGTCATGAAAGAGGGCCGCAGAACTGCTTCAGGCCAGGACTGGATGAGCGGGCTTGGAGCAGTGGGGAGGGCTCTGAGGGAGATGGGCAGCAGTGTCGTTTACTGTAGTCAATGTGGTAATGTAACCACTTGCCCTATATTTTGATCACCTGTAGAGACAGGTAGCTGGAGACCATGGGAAGAGTGGGAAAGCCAGGCACCTACTGAAGGTGACAAATACTTTTATTTCTTCAATAACTTATCATGTGACTTAAACAGAGATGGCTGCACCTGCCATTGGTATGGCTTCAATGTGTCCCCTGACCTTTCATGCGTTAGAAAGGTAATTTTTACATTTGTATGTCAGTGGTAGCTGGGGATAGGGCCCTTAGGAGGTAATCTGGTGTGATGAGGTCAGAAGGTGAGGCCCTGCAAGGACATTAGTGGCTTTAGAGCTGCTGGGGAGATAGCTCGGTGGTGTAAGCACCTGTCAGGCAAGCACAAGGTCCTGAGTTCAAGTCCCAGGGGAGAGGGAGGAGAGAGAGAGAGAGAGAGAGAGAGAGAGAGAGAGAGAGAGAGAGAGA